TAATACTCACTGTGATAATTAGCATATGGTATAACCCCTGTTGTTGTCATTGTAAACAGTGGTGCATGGTCCAGTAGTATGTTTCAATAGCGGTCTTGGCGATTTTAAATCTACAGCTTTGTTGTTGTATGTTTCAGCTGGAAATGCGAAAGAAGCTCACCCCTGTTGAACTGTGGATCATCATTTCTTCTAAGGACGTTCGGCTTTCACCTGATCACATGTCATCACATGCAACTCACGCGTTCCCAATCATGAACATTTTATGTGTTTGCCAAAGTGGAATCGAGCTGGATTCTTTCGCGCTTTCGATTTTCGACCAAAGCCAAGCGCTTAGTCTCTGCCACTGTTTTCGGGTGTGTGATCAGGTAAAATATTTCGCGCGTCTTTTTCGCTCTTCTTGATGTTCTTCTTCTGTGACATTAGCATTACTACATCGCAATGATGATCCAGATCCCGTCAGTGCTGTCGTAGTTCTTCCATTTTGCACAACATGAATCAACCTGTAACCAACTGTATTATGTCTACGTGCGTCTGAAACGTGTTTCCGATAATACTGGCGGAGTTAATCGTTAGGGCGACTTTCACTTTGACCTTTGACTGCGACCGCATGATGTGCTGACTCTTCGTTCAGATGATACTAACCTGCAGTGTTTGGGGCAGGCGATTAGTCAGTTCGTGATAGCCCGACACGTTCGTCTCATATGGGCATGTCTGTTTGTTTAATAGTGGAACAGATGTACTCAAACTTGGCGACATCCTCTGTCATATCTCTTCTAAGCTGCATTTATGGGTTTTCTGTCTCAGGTTCTTCTTCATGTTTGGATTCCGAGCGTTAAGAGAGATTGATTTTTGCAACTATGTTGAATTCCGATGCCGTCAGGTGGAGAAGATCGCTTTCCGCACTGTTCATCATGGCAACATTATCTGCGTACCAAAGCAGAGGTCATCTTGAAACTCCCCATGAGATCTTCATCCAGACCAGCCCTGCTTCTGTGAAAAAGCTCGAAAACACTGTTATATACCAAACTCGAATTTCCGTTTCCCCGGCAAACTGCACAACCGATAATGAATACAGATGGCTTTAAAACGATTTTCTCAAGGATCCAAAAAATGCTTTTAGGGAATAAATTTTCAAAGCCTATAGCATAGTTTAGTATACCAATTTGAGTTCCCCATACGAATTATTGCTCCTTTGCAGACCCAAAACTTGTCTAAATACGAGTTTCTGATCCAAATATGTGCATGATTTTGGCAAAGTTTGCTAACCGACAAAGTTTGCCTTTCTTAGCTTCACAAAGAGGAGTTGACTGTTGCGTGGTACTACAGTAGTTCGACAATGATGCGACGCTTCATTCGAGCTGAACATTTTTGAGAGAGTGACTTTGTGAATTCTTTGGATGCCATTCGCCGATACAATGCGTAAAGTGACCTGTTTAATGATCATCTTCATTGGAATTCCTGACTAATATATTCGCTCATTACAACTAGCAGAGATAAATGAATCACAGAAACAGTCTATGAATGAATGGGGAAGTACATGAGTGCATGCTTCAGTGAATAGATTCATCGATGAGTGAATAGGAAGGGTCATGAATCTTTTCTACCATTGATGATTTTCCATGTCTGAATAACTCCCCGTTAATTAGATTCGTGCATCAAGCTGGTAGAATACCAAGGCAGCATATAGAGTTTCTTTTTTTGCTATTGGTTTGTATTAATTTCTAATTTCGTTAAGTGATTTGTATGTAATAACTGTCCTGTTTTAGAAAATTGCTGCCAAAATCATTTTGACTCTTGGAGAAGCGTTTGAAAATTTATACGTTGAGCTTAAAAAGGAATCAGAAAGTAAAGGCGAAACTTTTATTGGAGAAAGAACGAACGTTGGAGAAGATCTTCTGCTGAAAGATCGTCGTTAGCCATTTCTGATTTTAGAATTTAATGTGTCGTTTAGGCGATTTTTTGAGGCAGCTTTAAGAAAGCTGCCACAGTATTTTATTGATTATTCTGCGGGTTATAGATTCGCTTATATCATTGGGGAGAGTTTGCTTTAAAGCGTAGTGTCAGTGTTGCGTTTGAACATATTCCAAGATGATCATGTGATGATCCAGTAAATTTATATTTGGAATCGTCATAACGGTTAAGAATGATTACGCAAAGTTACCTGGTGGTGTGATAAGATTTGTTTTCTCATAGTATCTGCTCAAGCTAAAAAGCGCAGTTTTAATGCACATGGTGAAACAATGCAAGGTATTGGCTTGTTGAAGCGATCCTTTAAGTTTCATTGAGCGAAGATTGCAAAGCCGCCACTTGGCCGATTGAATTATGAATGTCGGAGGTGAAATTGTCAAATTAAAGCAAAGCGTGAATGAACATTATCATTTCACCCCTCAAATTATTTAAAATGAAGCTGATACACAAGCGTACGTTTGAAATCGAAATCTAATTTTAATCAATTTAATTTTGTCGTCAAAAAAATTTGTAAATAATCAGATCTTAATGCAGCAAACGCAGACGGTAACCTATAGGTCATAGATGAACGACAAAGTTCCGAAATCCAGCTAAAATGCTATACGGCAGTCTAGAAATTATTCATGAACTATATGTACACAGAGGATTGGAAAATCTTCTATGGTCAGTGTCTTTCACTCTTGAGGGCAGCCATCCATCACGTAGGCTGGTCGTTCGGTAAAAATGGTGTATGTTTGATCTGATTCTGGGCTGAAAAAAATATTCGCGGTCTCTGCTACACAATTAGAAACTGAAGCATGGTGGCCTGCTGTCATTGAAACATCGGATATATAATCTCTCTGAACGCCTATTCCGGAAGTTTCGTGATATGGTAACCATTATATCGAAAATCAGTTCAAAGGCCATCGATCACGGTAAAGAATTTTGAAATTTAAATCTAGAGCTGGCCATCGTTTCACTCATGATATGGAAAAAATAGGTTGACAATGAGAGTGCTTCTGAAGCTATCAGCACTTTCTTTATGTAATCAACGTTGTCCCACGAGCTTCTTCATTCGGAAAGAAATTTAACAACGACAGAACGTAAGCAGTAAAGTTGAAACCCTGTTTAGTTATAAATATCAAATCGATTTCAAACAGTGAATCGACTCCCTTTCAGAGTTCATCGACGTCCATCGCATTATTACATTTCCATCCGTATCAGGTGTAGAAACGTCACTCTACACATTATCAAGTAGCAATCCTTCAACTGTTAAGGCTCTATGCTCATGCATTGTGGTGTACTCTGTGAAGGCACTCTTCTATACTGGTAGGAGCTTTGCTTCTTGTCCGTATGAACATTTCAGCTATTCGTAATTACCGTAAAACATTAAATTGATATATGATTATAAGGTTACATCCAGCTAATTACGGTACAGTATTCAGGCAATCTTCGGTGTCCTCTGTAAAATGAACCGTTGCTTTTGTTATTTGTGATTTTTACATCTGTGGAAGGTTCAGTCATGTGCGATAATAAGTTTGTTTTTGCTTTCCTGTTGTTAGCAGGTAATGCATTGGCAATTTCTCTTGAACAAAACCACAGGAACTCGACAGAAGACGACGACGTTACCAAATTTGCTTTGGACAGTCTGACAACGCAAACGAACAAGATCTACAGAAGGAAAGAAGTGCGGATGGATCGGATGGAGAGGCAGGAAGTCGATGGAAGCTTTTACAAGT